GTATACCCAGTTGTCCAATCCTACATAACAGTAATGTCTGGGGTATGTAGTGGTAAGAATTTCTTTTTTTTTTTTTTTTTTTTTTTTTTTTTCTTTTTCCGTGTCCGGCAACGGATCGCAACCCTCAGTGTCGCGCCCGTACCGGACCGGGACCGGCAATGGGATCGCAACCCTTGGCGTTGCTCCCGCGCCTCGCTCAGCCAGTGAGCGGGAACCGGTCTGTATGTGGGATCTGAACCCTCGGCAGGAGCGCTGCTGTGCTCTCAAGCGGCGCACTATCACAGTGCACCACCGGGCCAGCCCCCAAGGTCCTAATAGAAGGACAAACAAAAGTGTGTGTGCATGTCTCATATGAGAAGCTCATTATCGATACAGCACAGACAACCTTTCAAAGTAAAATGCCAAATAACTTGCCCTTCCTCAAAGAGTAAGCTTGATTTAGTAAGCTTTACTTTGAAATTAAAATATCTTCCAGGAAAATTAAGATTATGTCATTCAATCTTTATAACGAATCACTTTCTAGTCATAAAATTGTATGTCTTTCCATCTTATGCCCATGTAGACCATCAGCCCGAAAGGAATTCTGGCAGGAAGGAATAATTGCTTTGTGAACAAGACACAGGGTCGTTAGTCAGAGGAGGCTGCAAAAATGAGGGGCATAAGATGAGATTTAATAAGATAGGATAAGAGGTATCTCAAATAAGCAGTGGATACACAAAGGCATGGCGAAGGAAGTAGAAAATGCCATCTGCTTTGTCCCCTTTATGCCCTAGCCCTTGATGACACTGAAATCTTTGACATGTGCCATAAGTTGCTGATGACTCCAAGGTAATGGGATTTTCAGTTAAGACACTTGAAATTTTTTCTGGCTCTCTCTGTCAGTTTCTCTGTTTGTAAAATGCAGAGAATAATAAGTGCTACTGACCTACAGGAATGTTAGGAGATTTAATGAGGCAGGGGCAAGGAAATACTTTTAACTTCTTGGTTTAGAAAAATAATAAGTGTAAAAAGACACATCAGCTATTATTTTAAAAGAGGTGGTGACAGGCTTTCCTTCTAATCATTTCAAATCACTGCAGATTTCCCTTGAAACTTCCTACAGAAATAAACAAAATAATGAAACATCTTTGTTTTAAGAAGTTGCTAGGGATAAAATGAGAATTTCTGATTTACAATAGGCTTTATGTATTTATTTTTTTCCCTATTGTCCCTACTCTTGAGAAGAAAGTTAAGAAAAACATTTTCTTACATAACGATTCCTTCTTTGTGTCTTCTCTACTGCTCTACCCCCTCAACCCAACACTTGCATTTTCTCTGTAAAACAGCAGCCATAGCTGTCAACTGAGGCTCATGTAAGAACTTAAAAACTTCAATTAGTGAATATGCTTGGTCCTTGAAGGACCTAGAAATAATGAAATCAAGAAGCAGCAATGAGCTGCCACTGACTTTGTTTTTTTGGTTTGTTTTTTTGTTTTTGTTTTTTTATTGGTTATAAATATTCACAAGACACAAAGCTGATTGTCACCCCTCGTGTGCAAGATGTGAAGGCCAGATACATACTGGCAGCATGCCCATTACCACAAATTGCATTTGTTCCACATGTCCCCCACCCAATTATACCCAGCCTCCCTCCCCCTCCCCCTTTCCCCCTCACTCCACTTTGTATCCGTAGGTCTGTTCTCTCCCTCTGCAAGTCCAATGCACCACTGTGGTCTTTCTTTCCTTCCTTCCTCCTCTCTTAGCTCCCACTTATGAGTGAGCACATGCAGTATTTATCCCTCCGTGCTTTGCTTATTTCACTCAACATAAGTTTCTCCAGGTTCATTCATGTTGTTGCAAATGGGAGTTTTCATTCTTTTTTATGGCAGAGTAGTATTCCATGGTGTATATACACCACAGTTTCCTTATCCAATCATCTATCGATGGACATTTAGGTTGGTTCCATGTCTTGGCTACTGTAAACAGAGCTGCAATGAATGTGGGAGTGCAGGTGTCCCTTTGACATGATGATTTCCACTCCTCTGGGTATATACCCAGAAGTGGGATTGACTTTGGATGTGAAGGGTGGGAATTACTTTTTACTTTCCTACCCCAATATTACCTCCCCTTTCCCCACTTCTTCACCTCTTCTGTCTGCCCGATGCTGGAGCTTTAGGGTGGCTGACAATGACTATTATTTTGGTGGCTGTCAAGAAGCTTATCAGACAAGAACATGGGTGTGTTTGCTGAGCTTTGAGTATTTGTTAGAGGGACCCAGGTTGTACTCATACAGAGTTGCAATGGAAGAGTTACGGTTTGCCATTCTCTTTGTGGACCATCAATACTTATACAGGGTCCTCTTTGTAAATCCTTGCTTTTCATGTTTTTATTTTTGGCTTTCAATTTAAAAGATGGTCCAAAGAAAGAGGAAAGTAGATTCCAATCAAATTGACCATTGATTTCTGGGTAGCCTTGGTGAGTCACTATCTTGCAGTAAAAAAAGAATAAGAATCTATAAACTTAATAAATATGCTGAGATTGTTAGCCAGTCAGGACCTGATATGATATCCTTTGTCCTCATCACTCTTATTCTAAGAGTTCAAATATCACAAACAAAGGGGAAGGGTAGAGAAGTGATGCATGATAAAAAAAAAAGTAGCCTTTATTTGTGGGGTGGAGAAAGATGAAGAAACATTTGACAGATAATGACCTAGTTAGCAGGAGCTTGGAGACTAAGAGCTAACTTTGTTTTACTAAACTAACAATCTCACTTTGGATGGTTCAAGTCATATAACAATATGACCTTACATAACAGGGAATCTGTTTTACTTCATATTAATAATTGTGACGAGTGAGCCAATTTAGCAAGACACTAGGACAAATGAATATTCTTGATTTGCTTATTCCACAACTTCTTCTTAGGTTACCTGACTATAGCCTTCTCTACTTGTTAAAGAAGAAGGACTTTACATAAATTTTCTGAAAGCAAAGCTAATAGACCCTAGGAGAGGGGCCAAGTTTACAATGGGAATGTTTTAGGCAGGCCTGTGATGAATTCATTTTCATTTTAAAAAACAATGGTTTTCATTTGAAATAATAAGATTGGCATCATGAATTGGATTGTCTTATTGGATTGCCACGGACACAGCTCTTGCAAGTAAAGACAATCTTCAAAGGATTTTTATGTTTGTTTACTTGTTTGTTCTTCAGAAAGTTACCGAACAAAGAGGCAGAAGAAAATAGACTTTGTAGATGCCATTTCTCTCATTCTACAGAAAAAAATAATCATGCAGAAATAGTTTGTTGTCTTCAATTTCTTTGGCTCCAATGGCATGGAGTTGTTGTGATGATTGCAGCTCTTTTATTAAGAATGCTCTTGAATTGATTGAGCATGTGTCTGCTTTAGATGATTTCTTTGTTTATTTCTTTACATGACTAGACTTTCAAGCTTTCTTGAAAAGACACATTCAATTTTTCACTATGATTTCTTTACTCCAGTTGGGTACACGATGAATGACCTGATATTTGAGTGGTTAAGCGATGGTCCAGTGCAAGTTGCTGAAGGATTGACCCTGCCCCAGTTTATTTTGAAAGAAGAAAAGGAACTTGGCTACTGCACAAAGCACTACAACACTGGTAAGTTTTCTTTCAGCTGCTAAACCCAAGTGGGCTCTGTTTGCAGCTTGGGGTATATATACCATCACCTTAATTGCTGCATATTTACCAAGCAAATGAAGCTACGTGGCACGGATCTGATTTGGCTCTAACAGGTAAGATTTCTGTACCCTCTGGAATAGGTCAGCAGCCACAAGACGGAGAGAAAGAGAGAGCTGGGAATCTTTTGCTATTCTCTTGCTGACCGTCTCTTGTCAAATGAGTCTAACGAAAGGTGTAGGAGACTTCATTAGTGGTGCAGGAAATATATGAATTCTGACCCCTTCCTGGTGTCTACTCTTTTTTTTTTTTGTCTTTTTTCGTGTCCGGCAACGGATCGCAACCCTCAGTGTCGCGACCGTACCGGACCGGGACCGGGACCGGGACCGGGACCGGCAACGGGATCTCAACCCTCGGTGTTGCGCCCGCACCTCGCTCAGCCAGTGAGTGGGAACCGGTCTGTATGTGGAATCCGAACCCTCGGCGGGAGCGCCGCCACACTTCCAAGTGGCGCACTGTAGCAGTGTGCCACTGGGCCGGCCCATCTACTCTTGACATTGGATCCTCAGGTCAATTTGCGCTCTCTGCCTTAGTGGAAGAAAGGGATTATAACATAGGTCTTTGTAAACCCAGAAATAGAGCTGTTATGCTCTCCAGTCCTGGACAGTAACAGAAGTTTGGATGAAAATCAGCTGGCAAGGAATTTAGCTGGCTCTAAATTCATGTGTTGTCAGTAGTGCTGACACATGCGGCGGAGGGTAGAATTTGAGGTGGTAGCAACAAGTGGGCATCTGTTGTTGCCTGGAAGATGATGCCTGCCCAGTAAAGTTGATGGCTTTTCCTATAAATGTCCCGGTCTTCAATATCATGCAACATGATCATGGAGAGGCAATCAAGACATGATCCAGGTCCAGGTCCCTTGCTGAGAATGGTCTACAAACACTTGTTCCAGCAGTCAACAGTGACTTCCTATGAAGTAACTAAAACCTGATTTCACGGTGTTCTTTCTGACCAAGAAGAATCCAACCCTATCTCATAATTTGTGTGGCTAAGCCAAATTACCTTCTGGGGTTCTAACTCCAAGAAAATGAGAGGTAAAAAAATGAGAAGAGGCAGAAACATCTATATCTCAATAGAATGTTAAAAGTTTTAGCATCTTTATATGCACTCTTTTTTTTATAGGCAAAATAACACTTGTCACAGTTTCTAGGAATATTCTAAATGTCCTCAACCAATTATCCAGAATGCTAGGAAATTTTTACAATGACTAGGTTATATACATGATTTACACAAATACATATTTTTCTCTTGCCATTGGTAACACAAAAATATATACACGGTCATTCAAATAGAAGGAAATAGTTTCAACTATTATATGGTATATATGTTATTTATCATATGGTATACAGTATATGCTATAGGTTATATATTATGTGCTATATATTATAACCTCACAAAATTTGAATATTTTATTTCCACTGGTAAGTTTGTCAGTTTTTCAAATTCTAAAATAATCAATCTGCAGCAAACAAAGATTTAAAAAATTAAATATGCTATATGGTTTTGTTCTAGTAACTCTTTAGATCTCCCATTCTCACACTATTATTTTCATTACTGGTTGAGTTGGAGAAGAGTTGAATTGGTTATGAGCATTTTGTGCAGTCTTCCAAATCCATCTGCAATACTCTTTAAAAAAAAAAAAGTGGGATGCCAGAATGGGAAAGATAAATTCAAATTGGACTTTAAATGATTATTTTCTGCTTTCAGGAAAGTTCACCTGCATTGAAGTCAAGTTTCACCTGGAACGCCAAATGGGCTACTATTTGATCCAGATGTACATCCCTAGTCTGTTGATAGTCATTTTATCCTGGGTCTCCTTTTGGATAAACATGGATGCAGCACCTGCCAGGGTCGCACTAGGCATCACCACAGTCTTAACGATGACCACCCAGAGTTCAGGTTCCAGGGCATCTCTGCCAAAGGTAAGAGATCTCCTTGCTTGACAACATATAACCTGAGAGGTTCACCAAAGGTTTTGTGGGCTGGAGAATCCTGTGAAGACATAAATGTTTGCCATCCTATGACATTGCTGAAAATGTGGAGGCAATAAGAGAACAAAAAGCTGAGTTTGAGAGAATCGGTGCTCTGAAGATATGGGGGACCCTCAAAATCATATTGGTTAGAGGAAAGAGAAATCAGGATTGAGAGAGAAGAGGAATGAGTGGAGGCAGAAACATGGCTTAGGAGTTTTAAGAAGCCCTGAGTGCTTTTGACCTCAGTTGTTTATGAGCCATGAAGCTTGCAGGAATTGGAGTAAAACTGATTCAACTTATGCTATATTGTCAAGTATTTATTGGTGAGGCTACTGTAATTCATATGCTCAGTGAAGTCACTTATGGTAATGAAAGTTTGAATGAACCTCCTGGAAATTTACACAGAAAAACCATATCAATGAGTATATATAAGAAATGAATGTAAAATTTATGTGCAGCAAATCAGATACATGAATCTTTGCTATGCCTTAATTTCCTTTAATGGATGATATGCTATTATTTTTGAGAGACACAGTTACCTAGAGAAAAAACAGTGGAGTCATCCAAGATGGTAAAATTTCCAGAAACTGTGGAAGGTTGACAGAAAAGTGTGGGACGAATATCAGGGGCACATAGACATTTTGTAACATCTCAAACAATAATTCATAAGTAGCTGTATAATCTATGTTTATGTAAGGCAGGTCCTCTGCATCTGTAAATATTGCTTAAGCAAGTAATGATAAATGTCCTCCTTCTGAAATACTCCAGCACCCCCAAAGTGTGCCTATGCATGCTTCTGCCTTTCAGTGAGTACATCGAGCCATTGGCTTCTGTTTTCCTAGAGTGTGAGTTTAATTTAGCATTTAGTGTATACTGTCTCATACTAATTGAGCAGTCTCTCCAAAATCCAGTTCCAGAAAATAATTGAGATGCAATCCCATGTATTTTCTGGCTTGAGTTTATGTTCATTTGTGCTGCATTTGACATGATGAGAAATATTAGATTATGTTCCACATTATCTCCTGTGTTTGAAAGATAATATAACATATGGAGGAGGTGTGTAGCTATAATGGAGGTGGACTAAATACTAGGGAAATAGTTGTACAACTTATTAAGTAACATGCCTCCAAAGATAAAATTAGGTTTTATATGCTCATAGAGAAAAAAATAGGGCTGTCTTTGACACTTTTTTTTAGCTTCTAGAATAACAAATAGTATAATGTTCCTATGTCTAAGGTAAGGGAAGGAGGATTGTCAACAAATGCTCATAGAAAAAAGACTGGAAGGGAATACACCAAAGTCTTAACAGGAGTTATTTACTGGATGGTTAAAATTTATGATGTTTTCTGTATATTCTATCTTTTCTATAATAAGCATGTCTTAACTTTAAGGTGCAATGTGCATGCATACTCTGTACGGGGCATTGCAGTAGGCCCTAGAACAGTAGGCTCTGTATTTCTATTGGACTACAGATGCCGGAAATACTGACAGCTTTTTTCAGTTACATAATCACAGATCAATTTTACGTAATAAGAATTCTAATCCACTCCCAAACAAGTTCATTTGCTGATTTCTCATTAATTATTAGTTATTGCCATCTCTGCATGCTGTGCCAGGAAACCTCAGAATACACAAACATATATTTTACTGTTTAATAGACAGCTAAAGTATTGGTGACAAATCGTGAGCCAATAATGTCAAAACTTAAGACATTTAGCCTCTAACTGCTCAATGCCATGAAAAGACTAGTCATTTATTTTCAAAATGGGAGCTTGCATTTTATCAATTTCTTATTTATTATATGGAGCTATTATGATTCTGCACCAGGTCAAAACTATTGCTAAACAAATGGTCATTGATCAGTGATTTTTGTATGTAGAGGCAATCAGGAACTCAGATAAACTAAAAAGAGTATAATCAAAAATCATTTTATACTTGGCTCTGAATTCATAATGGTTATCCTTTTGACACCAGCAGGTTTATCTTTCTGCATGTGCTTTTCTTAGGCTATTATTAAACATGGTTGGTTATCAACTGACTGAGATGTGACTCATATGAATGGTGGTGAGAAACCACAACGGGATAAAAAATGAGTCACAGATATCAAAGAATTGACCATACACCTACTTTCACATACACATAGGTATAAATACTCATTGTAATTTATAAACACCGTAATCCCTGACCAGACGCTCCTCTATGCTGATTGTATAGTTGCTCTAGGACCTACTACGACACCTTGTACAGAGTATGCACTCGCATTGCACTTTAAATGTAAGACATACTTGTTATAGAAAAGATAGAAAACATCATTAATATTAGCCATCTGGTAAATAAGTGCTGTTAAGACTTTGGTGTATTTCCTTCTAGTCTTTTTTGAATGTGCAATTGTGGGCAAACTCAGTTATATACAAACAGAGAAAACTGAGATCAAACATTTATGCAGTTTTATAGGATATGCCATTTTCCATGGCATTAAAAATCTATTATGAACATAAATTTTAATGGCATAATAGTCTATCTGATGTATTGATCATCATTTATTTTATTATCTTGGATATTTAGGGGTATTTTGCTTTTGTGTGTATGATCATTTTAAATATATGTGTATATTAGTGTTTGTATCTCACTGTGTTCTAGAGGATATACGTATAATTTTTTAAAAGTTTTAAATTTGCAATAAGAAAAAAGCGAATTGAAGATGAGTAGAGTGAATGAGGGAGTATCTATGGGAAGATGCTGCATGGGATGTATGTTCTATGCAGGCAGAAACTTTGTCTTGTTCATTGTGTTAATTTCAGCACTTAGAACAGTGTAGAACAGTGTATGGCTTAGACTAGATGATTAATAAATCCTCATTGAATAGATAAATAAATTAATTAATGAACAGCCATGTTCCATGTAAAATCATGTGGAAGCTGGAGTAGACTTGAAGCAGAATCTATGGTAAAAGTTTTACAGAAAAATATTACAGTTTTAATATATGGAAGAATCTCATAATAATATAACATGTACTATAAAGAAAAGGAATTTCTGTAAAGGAGTATGTCCCCCTTTCCAGAAGTTCTCAAGCAGACTTTGGAAAGTTAAATATGCACAAAGATACATTTTGAAATGTAGGAAGGCCTAGTTCTAAATCTTAGAGCCTTCACTTCATTCAACCTCTCCAAGCCTGTTTCCTTGTTTCTAAAATGAGAACATTGTTATCTATTTCAAAAATTAAATGAGGATGAGATGAGGCACTACCTACATAAATTGTTTAGCCCAGTTTTGGTACATGGTAGGCACTCAACTCATTATGGTCGTTTTTATTGTTATTGCTCCCTGTCCATAACATAGTATAAAAGACTGCTCTATGGGATGGGAGATTATATTAGAAGACTTATAAAGGGTTTTATGAATAGAAGACACCAGGTTCTTTGGATGGCCCGTTATTTGGTTATGGTCATGCTGCCAATGAGATGAGCCAAAGTTTATCAAATGTGTGTATGCACACGATATATGTAATGCATGTCTACACACGTGTGTGTTTTTCATAGGCAGGCAGTTTATTGACTGGGCGAAGCTCCAAAGGCTTTGAATAAGCAACGACCCTATTTTTCTCCAATCACTGTTATTTACATCCTTAGTTGGCCCCTGTCTTCCCTGCCCCTGGAGGACACCTCAGGAGGATCCCGCTCCAAAGGCTTTGAATAAGCAACGACCCTATTTTTCTCCAATCACTGTTATTTACATCCTTAGTTGGCCCCTGTCTTCCCTGCCCCTGGAGGACACCTCAGGAGGATCCCGCTCCAAAGGCTTTGAATAAGCAACGACCCTATTTTTCTCCAATCACTGTTATTTACATCCTTAGTTGGCCCCTGTCTTCCCTGCCCCTGGAGGACACCTCAGGAGGATCCCGCTCCAAAGGCTTTGAATAAGCAACGACCCTATTTTTCTCCAATCACTGTTATTTACATCCTTAGTTGGCCCCTGTCTTCCCTGCCCCTGGAGGACACCTCAGGAGGATCCCGCTCCAAAGGCTTTGAATAAGCAACGACCCTATTTTTCTCCAATCACTGTTATTTACATCCTTAGTTGGCCCCTGTCTTCCCTGCCCCTGGAGGACACCTCAGGAGGATCCCGCTCCAAAGGCTTTGAATAAGCAACGACCCTATTTTTCTCCAATCACTGTTATTTACATCCTTAGTTGGCCCCTGTCTTCCCTGCCCCTGGAGGACACCTCAGGAGGATCCCATAGATTCTCAGTCACTACGTGCCATGCCATTGAACCTAGAATGCACAAAGGTGTATTTTACAATTTAATAACTAAAGTATTGATGACAAATACTTTAGGACAGTCCATTAACAGATTTTTTTGAAAATCATCTAGTCTGAAACAAAACTTCAGTCTTGAATTTAATTTATTTTAATGCTCTTTCCCTCCCTTGCCCCCAGCTCAGGCCTGACTTTTGTCTTGAAGATGTGCGGCAATGTGGGGCACATGGTCTGCCCCTTGCATTTCCAGTTCTTTTCCCAACTCTTATTGCTGACTTCATTTTTAAGGGCTGAGGATGAAGGGAAGGATGGAAGAAAGTTGCATGTGCCTTACACTGTTCTAGTCTAACCATTGGTGCCTTCTCTAATGGCAAGCCTCCAATGGTTGGCTTTCTTGTGAGTTGAACTTGAGTTCTTCGGAACTTACAGGGGATCCCATATACTACACCATTTCCAGATGAATGATGCACTCTCTGGCATAGGTCTTACAACCTCCTTTTAGTTATTACCTCCTAGCACTATATCGCCTACAACTTCTTCCTCCTGGGGTCCCCTTTCTTAAGCAGACAGCCCTCCTGGTTGACATATTTCCAAGATGACTCATATTTGTCTATCTTCCACACCATTTATTTGGCCCCCTAAAAACTTGTGTGTTCTTGCCTTGCTAAGTGGTGGAAATGCAACTTAAACCA